CTTATCGACTTCTTGAGAAGAATTCTAAGAAGAAAGTAAACCTACAGACATCGGTCTTGTTTAACAAAATCTGCCTAATTAGGATGCATATAGACTCCATTAGTGTTTTTAAACAGTTTTTTTCTAAACTACTTGTGTGCATCCATGATTGTTTGGTTACAGGGCCTATAATAATGGATGGATCATATTGTGAACTGTAAACAGAAGTAACACAAGTATTACAGTTCGTTACGATGATTACTTCTGGGATTTCCAGTGTAGTTTATATATAAAATGAGTAATTTCACCAGTTCTTTACACTGCATGTCATAAGAGATGTAAAATTACTCAGTACATTGTAATGTGTGGAACCTACCAGTTGTGTAATAACACAATAACATAATTTTATGAATTCTTTTATAGATTGTTTAGGCAGAGTATTCATGATGAAACTTTGTAGAATGGACGGCAACTGCCTGTTGTAGAGACTTGTGTGAAGTTTAAATTTGCAGGCCTGTGTAATTAGTTTGTTAATTATGCTTTATGTAATACTTGTTTTTCTAGCAATTCTTGAAATTCCTGACAATATTAAAGGATGCAAGTGCCTTCATATCTTTGAAGCAAGTGTAAACCCTCTTGGAAAGTAAGTCAGTCTCTTTATATTTCTACCATTAGGTTATTTATAGTAAATTTATTTGAATTTTAATATAATTTGTTAATATTTATTTATTCCACAAAATTTACAAATACCTAGGGGGGGGGGTGCTATGACACTCTTTAAAAAAATAATTCATTACTTCATTCTGTGTATGCTAAAATATATTTACAAGTATTAGAGTCTGGTTTATTCTGTATTAATTGTTTCCACCAATTACCTCCTTTTCCCCCCCATTCCTTGGATTATTGAATTCCATGTTGGATTGTTCATATATGGACATCAAAACATGTGATCAATAGTTGTTTTTTCCTGGTTACATCTTTTTGGTTCATATTGTAACCAGTTTTTCCCCCTCCTTTGAACATTTCCACATTGTAGTCTCATCCAAACAAATTATTTTAATCTCGCCACTTTTATCATCAACCAAATAATTTTCTCTTCCAGTTGACTTCATAATAAAAGTTTCAGTATGTAGAACTATGGATTCTAGTCCTGACTTCATAATAAAAGTTTCAGTATGTAGAACTATGGATTCTAGTCCTGACCTCATAATAAAAGTTTCAGTATGTAGAACTATGGATTCTAGTCCTGACTTCATAATAAACGTTTCAGTATGTAGAACTATG